TACAAGATGGATACAAGCTCTTTTGGATCAAAGCACTCTTGGTTTCAAAATGAAGCTCATTTGTGAGGTAGGTAGATTCTTTTTTGAAAAAAAATATTTCTGGACAACTTCCAACTTCTTCAAGTGACTATCAGCTATCCACACCATCCTAATATTCCATATTATATACGTATTAAAGCCAGATATGTTCCAGTGATGTTCACTCAATATTTTACTCGAAACTTTGAATTTATTCAACATCCGTCGAAGTATTGTGGAGACTGTTTATGTATGTAATCGTACATTCCATCTCAAGTATTATGTCAAGATAATTGATTTTTTTTGTCAATTAGGTTATAAGCAACTTGTATATTGAGTGCATCATAACTTGGAAGATTGTATTTGTATGGAGCGAAGGGCATATATTTTGTTTTTTCTACATTGACAGTGAGAAATTCATTATTTAATTATCTCAGGATGTTTTTCAAATCGGCCTCGATCGTTTCTTTGGTTTCAAGACGGTACCTTGTGGCACACCATATGTATCTTTAGCTTTGGTACTAGTACTTTCTTTGATTATTATACATTGTTTTCTATCAATTGAGATAGCTGATGAATAATTCAAGGGATTATTCATCTAATTCCAATATCTTCCAAGGTTTCCAATAATGAGTCATGGCTGACTGTGTCGAATGCCTCGGATAGATCGAAGAATATGCAAATTGCTGGTTTTCCGTTCTCCATAGCGATATATACAGTGAGCACCATATGTAACGGATACATTTCTGCGTTATTAGTCATTTTCAAGAAAAACCCTGAAACACATCGAATTATGTATTCGAAAAGACACTCTGTTACATAAAAAAATCCAATTTTTTTAAATGGAAAAGGGGTTCAAGTGATACCTCAATTTGAAGGGTATTGAATTTTCTGTACAGCCGTATCTTCATTTTTTATTTTCGTGCATGCGTCAAAAAAAACAATTGAATAAATTGTGTTATCTAAATTATTTATTAAAGCGGTAGCAATGAATGTGCAACTAATGACAATAATAAAGTCGTTGCTGAAAGATATCAACAAATCTTGAATGATTTGGGGGGTGATGCGTTCATTTCTTCTCTAATTCTGATTTGCAAACTTTCAATATTGTTTGGTCTATACCAAAGCAACCCAGCTGTGGGTTGCTTTGGTGTTCTCTCTCCTGAATCGTATGTCCCGTTCGAATTCTCTTTTGTTGTACCCATTACATTCGTAACGAAGTTACTATTTTCCCCAGTGGTACGTCAGGTCGAAACAACCCGTAACCTAAACTCGGCATCAAAGTGACCAGTAACGCGTAAAGAGCGTTACACGTTTCAATGCATTATTCAGGTGATTCAGTTCTTCAGGCAGACCCTCAGGTTCACAAATTCGTCGTGCTCCCTCAACCAACGTTTTCATTACCCCTCTTTCTTGTTTTGGCTGGTTCGAGTTTTTGTTCGGGTATCTGTCTGTGGTTTTCTGTACACTCGGTAGCCCAATGTTCCGTCTTCAGGTCTGTTCACAAGAACATCCAAGAAGGCTAGAGTCCCTTGGGTTTGTTTTTCCATAGTGAATTGGATGTTTGGGTTGAGCGAGGTAAGATATAGTAGACAATCTGTTGGTGTATCTTCCCCATCTCGTCAACATAACATAGACAGCAATATGGTTTCACGGCCGCTTGCTCTAAGGGACGTTGTTCGAAATTTTCCATAAAAAAGTTACCGCTGGACTTAATGGACTGCCAATTGAAAATTGTTCGTAAAACACTCCGCCCCACTGAAAATAGGTTGATGATTAGCATTGTGCGAAGAGGGCGGTAATATCTGCTGGGAATACTTTGTTAATGAGCCGTATCGTTTCCTTGGTCGGCACCATCGAAAGAGACCACGTTTGAAAATGTTACCGCAGCAGTAGACAGAAGGTCAGACATAAAATCGGCAGATCACGGCCACAAAACCCTGAAAATAGCATTCATATTAAAACAACAACATAGGGAATATTTCAATCACACTAGTTATTCTCACAAAGTTAGTCGTAATATTTCATGGCATAGCCTCCAACATATTCATTATAAAACTATGGCTAGCCGAGACCGGAAACAGTTTGGTCTCAGTGATTAAATAGTCTAATCGGTTAATAAATGAGCCTCTTATTTTGCCAGTCTTCAGAAAAATCGAACATGTTTGAATTTTTTATTGACGCAACTAATAATCGCCTGCGTGAGAGTTTTTTTTTGTGTTTGACTGAAATTGTCAGAATGCTGCTAGTGTAAAACGACAATCAAAATTTATGATCCAGTAATGTATTTATTATCACTTTGAAACAAATTATACAACGATTATTATGGTTTGGAGTTACGATTTCTATAAAACGTTACTGAATGTAACATGATACGGCTATCATGATAGCCATTTCTCACGTATGATACACAGACAGCTCTGCCAAGAGGTATAGTCATTCGATTTCTCTACGCGATGAAGAGATTATTTTTACTGTAATCATTGAGTAAAATAACCATTTCCTATTCCCAATGGCAAGTTGAATGAAAATGAGTATTGGCTGAAATGTTGCTTCTTTGATGTGAGAATTATGCATGGCCTATGCAGACATTAGTTTCTATATACTAAATCAAACACACGTTGTAAAATTATCCAAATCTGGGTAACATTTTATATCTTCCATCATGTCTTCAACCCAAGTGTTCATCTAAAGGTCCTTTATTGTTCTCAAATTCCATAATTTTATATAAAACATTTATCAACTAGAACTTTGATTTCCATTTCAAGGATATTATTCAGCAGAAGAACTTTATCTAAAGATGAATCATCTTGTGATGATCTTTCGGAATCAAATGAACGCGCCCCCTTCTAACTACATACAAGAATTGGGGTGATAGTTTCATGTTTCATAAATCATCGTACTTTAAAAGTGCGCAAATGAGCTCGCACCAGTATTTTGCAGACTTTTCAACCTCTCATACAAGAAAGGGGTTTTTCCTTCTTGCTCGCGTTCAACCTATTTCCAAAAAGGACACGAAAACTTTTACAAATAACTATAGACCAGTCGCTTTGCTTTAGTGATATCAAAAATCATGGAGAAAGCCGTCAACCAGCATTTGAATTCATGAAAGCTTCAACATCTTGAGTGATCATCAATATGGCTTTGGGAAATAAAGATCAACAGGCGATCTTCTATAGCATGTCACCCATATTTGGAATAACGCAATCGAGAAACATGGAGAGTCAAAAGCTGTTGCGCTTGATATTTCTAAGGCCTTTGACAGTATGTGGCATGAGGGTTTGCTGGCCCAACTTTTTGTGTATGGCTCTTCAGATTCCTTAAAGAAAGTTCCCTGCAAGTGGCTGTCGATTGATATCTCTCGAATAGTTCCACCACCAGCGCTGGTGTTCTCCAGGGATCCATATTGTCTCCAACCCTCTTTTTATTGTATATCAACGACTTATTGCAAAAACTAAGAACCCCATATATTGCTTTGCTGACGACAGCACACTTGTCTCGTAATTACTTTTGGCAGAAGGAGGTTGAATATTTTGATGAGGATCCAGAAGTAATTTCGAATTGGGGTGAAATTTCCCAAGTTCAATTCAATGCCACAAAAACCCAGACATCAGTTTTCTCCAAAAAGATAAATATTTCCGAACCGGATATAATAATGTCAGGTTAGACAATTCTGATTTCTGCTTCGATAAGTTGTTGGGGGTTGAAATGGACATCAATATGTCTTGGCACAATCATATCGCTGGAATTGCAAAGGCTGCTTCTCAAAAGCTTGGAACACTGTTTCGAACCAGAAAACTGTACACACCTCAGCAATCTCTGATACTTTATAAAGCTCAGATCAGACCCTCTTTGGAGTATTGTTCTCATGTATTGAGCTTCGCCCCCAAACATACCCTGAAGCTGCTAGATTCCAGTCAGAAAAGAGCCATCCGCCTGATTAGAGACGAGAACATCACTTGCAACCTTGATAGTCCGGAGTCTGGAACATCGAAGAACGGTTGGAGATTTATCTCTCTACTATAGATACTTTCACGGAAAGTGTTCAAGTGACTTGGCATATTCGATTCCACCAAGAGCGGTACATATCAGAAATACGCAACGGACAGTGGCTGCTCATCGTTATGAGGTTCACTGTTTAAGAACTCTTTCATTTGGAGAATGATGTTTGTGTGGAATACATTTCCTAAGAACGATTTTCCAAATTGATTTAGCCTCCACCGATTCAAATCCAATGTGAATCACTATTTTCGCTCAGGCACCGTTTTAAGAGCGCCTTTAGTATTTTTCTGTAGTGCTTGTGTTTTGTCCTTGAAAAAAATTAACATTCTCCTCGATTCTGAAATTTGTTGAAATCTGTTTTTCCGTTATACAGCTGCCGGCCCCAACGAACAACCCTCAAAAGCCGAAATTTGTACAAACCAAGGATTAACGAAATTCAACCTTTTGGCGTGCGATCCCTAGCAAGATCTGATCGTATATATTTATTTTTCACATTCAAGTTACTATAAATGGAAAATAGTTATATTCTGAAATTGAAATATTGCCCAAATAATAGGTACTTCCTTAGAATTTTGAATGTGGATCTGTTAGATACCTAACGGCTTTTGTAGAAACGCAACCACTCACTGCAATAATGAGGAAACATTCGAATAGAATTGAATGTAACGCGAACATTCGTCAGGGCAAGCTAAGATTAATAATCCTAGCATTTGGATGATTTGCCTGTTTCTACTCCTCCAAGTCCGAAGCTGTCGGTTGCCAAACCGAAAAATAAATCGCTCATGAGATATTCAAGATGTTCTAAAAAAAATTACTCTCTGAGAACCAGACACGACATAGCTCCACTATCTCTGGTAAGAATAGATTAATTCTTTCAAAGACATCTCGGTAAAAATTCAGACGAGATATAAAAAACTAACCAGAATATTTTTCTCCTCTGAACTAGTTCCTCTAATTTCATTAATGGCATGAGTTCAAGTATGGCCGACGTGGAATTTGCTGCCCTCCTCATCAAGAAGAAAAAGAAGAAACAACTCAAAAAAGTGTATATTGTTGATGAGTACTCTAAACGGAACATCGAAAAGGCGACGAAAATCAATCCCGAAAGTACAGAGCAAGAGTCTACGATAAAGGTCTTGCTAACCTTCATTCTAATAGTAAACAACTGACTGCGTCCATGAAAAGCACAATATCTGGACAATATATAAATTCATTAGGAAAATTTACTATTGCCTAATTTCAGCAAAGGATAGAAGATATCCTCAATCGAAACCAGTGTTTCACCTCAATTCCATGCTTCTGTGGTAAAGTAAATATCGGCAGAACAAAGCGTTCGATCAGCACAAGGGACACTGAGCACGAAAAAGACTGCAGTTTTAGACACATGGGAAAAATCAACTTAGACAGGACACGCACTAAGCACTGTAGAGCACGGATCTCTGAAGATACCAAATACTCGAGCCGGCAAAACGTCAGGAAGGAATTCCAACCAGCGACGACTCAAAACCCAAAGCAACAACCACTCCGAAATATTGTCTTCCTTTTTGAATGGACCATGGACGCTATTTTGGCAGTTATTTCCAGCATAGTAGTCATTTGTTCCTCATCTTCAAAAACCTGTTTCAAACTCGAACGATTACACATTTAGAATATGTTCGGTAAGAAACCCGCAAAATTAATTTGTGGTCTTGAAATCGATACTAATGAAGTAGATCCCGATGGTGGTTGTCCCAAAACTGGTGAACTATCAAAATACTAATCAATTATTTCGTGATGGTAACTTTTGGACAACTCAATATTATTTTGGGTTGCTATTGGAACACATCCTCAGTCAAAGACAGAAACAGCACCGCACAACTATCTATAATGAAGGTTTGATTGCTTTCACTACCTTCCTACTGTCATCGTCATCGGTATACAGTGTGTCAATTTTAAAACTTACAATGGGCTGTATCTCACAAACGAAAGCTGATATCGAGAAATGCACGAAACCATTTCTAGGATAGTAAGGGGAAACTAAAGTGACATGAAAGAGAACTCACCCCCATCAACCCCCTAGGCCCCACCCACCAAAACACAACAAATTTCCATTACAAACCCCTACTTGTGATACATCATTGAAAATACTATAAAAATGCTATCCAATGATATAAATAATAATTGTAAATGATGAAGCAATAATTGTGAAACTTTGGCTTAAATGGATTATTTAATGAGGTTTTGTTTATTAAAAATGTCAATTTTTGATTGATATCATTCGACCATATGGAATTGAAGAAAATGTTCCTACTACCCTATCAAATATGAATTTCAGATGAATGCGATTCTTCAATGACTACCATTTTTAATTTCAACTGTATTTCGATTTCCATTCTGGCGAGAATATAGCTTTTCGCTGATGATTACACATTTAGCGCCATAAGCGTAAGTGGGTTCACCGCCCGACTCAGTTATTAACTTTGATGATTCCATGTTATTACCGGGTTCGTGTCCGAGAAACCGAAGAAATGATCTGATGAGACTAACAAACAATTGCACCCCTCCCCAAAAATAACAGAAAAATAATAATATATTTAACGCCCACCAGAGGTAGTGTGAACAGGATCGGTTTTGAGATGAAAATAAAAAATATGTTGGTTATCGTGATACTGATTGATAATATGAAAAAATGTATGCACTATTGTTCATATAACATATAACAATATAACTTACTCAATATCCGTTTAATATCACAACCTATAAAATATTAAGATTTTGAAAATTAACTCACAATTGACTTTTGCTATGCTCATTGAATAAGTACTTATTATTTTTGAGAGGATAATTTTTGGTGTTGAAAGTATTTGGCTGTCTACTTCTTCATCTTTATACAAAATAATGTGGGAATCTTCCTGAGAAAGAAGGCAATCAATTTCAAAATAACTCGTCAGGAAGATATGCAGATCATGCATTGAAGTTACTTCCAGATACAAACTGGAAGAAAAATCCCTCTCGAAACAACTACTTTCATATGAACTATATTAACTGTATAAAGATGGAGAAGTAGAAAGCCAAATACTTTTTTGACGAATCGTTCATTAATGTATTATTACGAAAAAAGTTTCATTTTTAGAGAAAAACATTATTGGAACATTCAAAACTTTTCATTAACTGAATGTAATACAGTTTTATATTTCATATCCAAATATTTTTGTTTACCAGTTTTTAGTATATCGATGCGATATTAACGATTCGCAATTTGAAATCGGAGAAATCCTGCCATTCCTTGGTATATCTACAATAATATATTCGATATTCAAATTCTAAAAATATGTGAAAATGATTTCATATTATAGAACAATAACAAAAATGTTATATTGATCAGTAAATTGTCGCATTCGATAATTTTGCTATCAGAAAAAGAGCTGAGAAATTATACAAATACTCATCTTAACGTATCGGAGGCTGAAATTTGCCTCCGTTTTCAGAATTGGAAAAATCTAAGGAGATTCGCAGTTTTTTTCATCGATTCGATGTCGACAGATGTCGAAGGAGTTTCGAAATGTGAAATATATCAATGTTTTTAAATGGAGCCAAGTGATATTCTGGTCGGTTTCGACGTTGTGTCCTTGTTCACTAACGCAACGTCCCGCTGAAATATTTTTTGAGAGAGGTAGCCAACATGTTTCCTAGTGATATTGTCGGACTCTTCAAGACTTGCCTCATGGGAAGTTACTTCAAATGGAAAGGAGATTTTTATGAGCAATTAAGACGGCATAGCGATGGGAAGTCCATTCAGCCCGTTGATAGCAACTTCTTCATGGAGCAATTTGAGAGGAAGTCGGTCGACGCTTTCGATTTCAAACTAACCATTTGTGGATAACACTTGCGTTATCTGGAGACATAGAAGGACAGATTGAACCTATTTCTGGACCACATAAATGCTTACCAGCCTAGCATCAAGTTCACCATGGACACTGAACAGGAACAAAGGATAGCTTTTCGAGATGTACTCTTAGAAAGGAGTGGCACACGACTGACACATAAAGTGTACCAAAAACCGACACATACGAACAGATATCTATCTGCTTGCACTTTTGAACCATCATCCAAGTCATAAGTGGGAAATTATCAACACCCTGATGGAACGTGCCCGTGGAATATATGAACCGGCACACCTACAAGAAGAATTGGATCATCTTCAAGTGGTTTCAAGATCAAGTTTCAGTGTTTAAGCTAACTAGGAAAAATATAGGGCATCAATAGGGCATTTGAGGAGGATATAAATTTATTCGGAAACGAAATAGTTTTTTGAATGGTGCACCTCCTCATTATGCAGCTCCAGTGCGATAATTTTTGGTTGTTCATTTTCCTGGTCGCTGGATTAGCAGAAGAGGTCCTATAGAGTGGCCATCAAGGTCTCCAGATCTTACTCCTGTAGATTTGTTTTTATGTGGTCATTTGGAGTCTAAAGTGTATTAGATAGAATCAACAACATTAGAAGATTCAAGAAAGAATATCATGAGGCATTGCCGAGAAATAACTTTCGAGATTATCAACTATGTGAGGGCGTCGTACCATTGTGTGAAAGTTGGTTGAAACGTTTTTGAACATTTAATAGAGAAAATTATTTTTTTGTCATTGTCCAGTCATCAGATTTTGATTCAAGCATTAATGAAAAATCACTTTTTCTGATTTATTGATTCCATATTGGTCTTTAGAACGGATATTTCGAAATGTGACATCCTGTATAATTATTGAACTATTTTTTATAATTCCTGCAAATCATTGTTTCGAAAGTTATTCAGGGTGTGTCGTTTTCAACTCAAATAATTTGTAGCTCGGGAACCATATGTTTTATACTGTGTTGAAAGCTGCTCATCATGGAGCATCTGATAATGTGAAACAATAGAGGGTGATCCATTTGAAAAAAATTGGTGACATGCTCTGGGGGTGCGATAGGGGAGGTACCATCAAATGTGAATATATCAAAATGTATACTATTGTTGGCGTGTTTTTTTTTTATTTTTCCTGAAAATCATTGTACCAAAAGTTATTCAGGGTGTCTCGTTTTAAATGGAATGCACTTATAATAATTATCATTTCAGATACTTGCACAATCGACGGCTTCTTTTATGCTCGGTGACCAATGCAATGGTGACTGGGAATGTAGAGAGGAAATTATTGGATCTATATGTCACAGAGGACGATGTGCCTGTCAGCCTTTTTACGCCAGAGTCAACCAAACCACGTGTTTACAATGTAAGTAAAAGAACTATATTGTATTACTTTTTATATAGACTCTCATATAATGAATTGGTGATATATATAACTGATTCATCATATTGCCATTATATCGTTACGTCTAAAAATTTTTAAATAAATGTTATATATTTCAAATAATACTATTCAATCATACAACTCAAAAAACACAGATTAACTTGTGTAAAATGTGATAATGAATCTCGAGCTCAGCCACTCTCACGGTTTTCTGAACTGAAAAATAATAGGTGATGGTTCTTTCTAACGAGAATTGGGACTGGTTTTTTCTGTTATAATTGTATTGGACTGGTTCATCCCGATTTGGGATCCCTTTGAATCACATTTTTTGAATCATTCTTCAACTTTCACATGTCAATGATGATTTACCCAGTTAAAAAAATCATGAAATTTTTACCATCGATTAAAAAATGTTTACCTGTTTGGTTACTGGGAGCACAGTAAAAATAATCAACCAGTAAGTCAACTCCCACTGCTTTCATTCATAAACTCATAAAGTTCTTGGTGACCTCGAAACGAAGTGCGAAGCGATTTCGTTCTTTTGCCATAGGCGTGCGCTCATATAAAAACGAAATTTAAGGATATTATAGAAGATTTTGTGGTGAGTTACTTATTCCGTACGGCGATTTCAATGGCTCTTCAAGAGTCCAACCCTTGAGACATGCGGTCCCCACATGTGTTGATATCGACTTCCGGCCAGCCCGAGCAAAAAATCCGGCCATTGACCATTCAGAAAAATGCTCACCGCAGTTTTAAATGGGTATTTTCTTTTTGTTTCATTTTCTTCCTTTCTTATCTTGAATATTTTTTCTATAATGTTGATACATATAATGTAATATGTTGCAAGTACTCGTGTGAAATAACAAAAAACAAGATTTTGGGGATGACGTTGAAGTAGAAGCGATGGCCGAATCTAGTAATGGTGTGTCGTCTGTCCCATAGGTTTCTAAAATTGCTTTCGTACAGTGTTTCTAATTTGTAAAACAAATCAGGTCTGCAGCATGCTTCCAGCCATATTTTTGCTACTTACTTAACTTTTGGGATCTTTTGGGAATTTATAAAATTTCTCACTACAATTGTAGGCCTTCTTTTTGCAATCACTGAAGCAGCAAACTTTTCCTGACTTCTTTAATGATGTCTTGTTTAAATCTCCCATTTTCTAATCACTTAATAATAAAACAAACAACAATACCCAACTACAAAAACTAAAAACAATAATAACAACAATGAATAAACTAAAAACAATATCAATTTCCACCGTTTATTACAACTAATCCGTTGCACGTGGTAGCGTCGAATCCTTCGATACTACAGCACTGAATCTCATCCTAAGAGCGGTTGAAAGTCCCCGACAACGGGCGGATCACGTGGTAAGAGAGCCTATTGGTTATATTATTCTACTGTGGTGGGAGGCTACCTAAACCCATCTTTGATAAGTAAGTGCAGGGCAGTTTGTTACTTTGGCGTCTCAAAAATTAAAAAAAGAATTCTCAGTTTATGAAATTTGGATTCATGCCTGAGCCTGCAATTCAAATTTGCAGCTGAGGCACAGTTAGTTATAGAAATAGATGTTGAATTATCCGATAACAAAGTAGACAACTTTTTCTCAACTCAGGGTAACCACGACTCGATGCCTTGTTGAGATGGATATTAATCCAAAATTCTAATCGTGATGTATCAGCTGTCAACCGCCACTAGCTCCCTCTTCCGATTTTAACATATTATCTTAAATGTAATCTTAAGTAAAAATAATGACAACTAGTATCGCAATTCGTTATTTGATCAGTTATTGAGTTATTGCGGTTGAAATTTTGAGCTTTTTTTAAATTTCATCAGTTCATATGTTATAATATGATTTGAAATCCCTGAAAGAACAAATGAAATTGAAAACTAAAATGAGTAGCTGAAATTAATTTACAACTAAATCAAAATTAGACAAAAAATTAAAAAATGAAATAAAAATTAAAAGACTTCAAGCCGAATTACTTCACGACGTTTCAACTTACATAGTGCCAGCTTCAGAACATTACCATGCTATTCCATTATTTTGCTGAACAAAATCATAATTGACATTGATCTACGCATCTCTTGAAAGGGTAGCCCGATACTTTGTAATATAGCCAAGTGATTACTAGTTCCCTCCTAAAACTGTCTCTACACTTTCTCCAAATTTTCAATATGGACACTGTAGAGAAGATAACAAAAAAAGCTAGATAATAGTGAGGAGATGCTGATATAATAACTGGAAGTTTTGCCTTTCTGAAATTGTAGAGTTCATTTTGACAGTGAGAGGAAAAGCTCAAATGAGATATATTTCCTTTCACATTCAAGTCGATGATCAGCCGGATGATAAGAATATGTATCTATCAGTGGCAATCTCTTTCTATGGACGTTGAGATCTAAATCACTGATTGCCAGAACAAGAAGCCTTTCATGTCAGTAATATACTGAATTTAAGGGTATTTATGATATCTAAGAAAGTTTTTATAAACTGACTCAGGTTCTGAGATCAAGTAGAATTAAAAATATTGAAATCTCCTGCGATAATAACATTTTGTTGACTGGCCAAAATCTGTTCAAATTGTTCTAAAAATAGTTCGAGATTCTCTCTTGTGACTTAGTGGGGCTATATACAACATAAATGAACATTTTGTAATAGTTGAATGAACAACTGCAACCAACAAAGTCAATAAATGGAATTTTTCCAAATAGGTTAAGTTAGGTTAGGTTCAAAGAGAGTGAGTCTATTCGACCCGCCACCCGAAAGGGTTTATTGTAGCTCACGCTTATTCACACTCGGCAAAAAAAAACAGCTTCTTGGCGAAGCCGAATAGTTTGTAAGCTGAGGGGTTTTTCAGGTCAAATGGTACGAGTACGGCTCTGCCGAACTCTAAAAACCTGATTCGGTCCCCAACGGGGCAGGCACAAAGTATGTGTTCTGCAATTTCATCATTTTCCAAACAGAGGCGTTACACACTGTCTTTCGACAGTCCCAGTCTCTGCATACGATGATTCAAATAAGAGTGACCTCTTAGTTTATCTTTACTGTAGTCCAACTATTTGGTATCAAGCTTCGAAGGGTGAATAAACGCCATGGAGTGAGCCAATCCTGGAAGATTCTTCCAGAACTCCATAAATCTTCTTGCTATCTAGGTGTTCAATCTTTGTTTGGCAAAGCCTAATGCGATGCCAATGACAGGTTCTGGTCCGATGAAGCTGCTTGCAGCACCTTCCTTCGCAAATGAGTCAGCAGCCTCATTGCCTTCTAGACCAATATGGTCAGGAATCCAGACCAGAGACAATCTGTTAAGTCTTTCTATCTAGGAGAGTCATTTTTGGCACCTACTGAGCTCTTGGCTCTGTATGAGGTTGAATTCTTCCAATCTCTCCCCACATAATTCAATAGCGTAAATTTTCGTTTGAAATATAGTCGCATAGGTTCCTAAGCAGGTTGATATCTCTGTCCTGAGTCTGCGACTGGAAGCACTTGCCCCAAAACCGGAAGGTGTTTTTGATCCATCTGTGAACCAACAAATATCAGCTCTCAATATTTCCTTCTCCTGGAGAATTCAGTCCTTTCCAATCGGGAACAGTACTTCATAAGGCAGTTCGTAGTTGTCAGTTGGAGGCATAAAGTCAGAGGTCATTTTCGTAATGATGTGACTTCCAGTGTCAGTCTGTATCACTATGTATTAAATTGATTTGTGCAATTGGCAATGTGCACAAGTCTATATGCAGTCCATCTAGCCTCTTTCTCCAGAAAAATGTGGAGAGGAGGTAGATCTAGAAGGATCTCCATGACCGCTGACGGTATGGTACTGATGGCACTACTGATATCCAGACAAGCCTCTCTCTGTAAGTCAGAGGGCTTCGCCTGGGCCGTTTTCTGTAAAGCCTTCGGCCACCAGGCAATTGCACTATAATTGATCATCCAATGGATTTGTTTGGGGCCTGAACCCCAAGTTTTATCACAAATCCTTCGACATATCCATAGGTACAGTCTGGCTTTGTGTAAAACGTTTTCCAAGTGAGCGTTGCAGGTGAGTTTTTCATCAAGGACAATGCAAGATATTTCACCTCCGTTCCAAATGAAATAATTTAAATAAGTCAAATTCAAAGCACTTAAGTGGATTCTAGTCTTAGATGATGCGAGCAAAACTCCGCCGCCACGATTGGTATGGGTAATGATAACATTTCCATCACATTGATGTATATAGTATTTCACTTGAGGAAAGCTCAGAGCTTTTTATGTCATTCAACAGTCATATTTTCACTAAGACAATGGAATAACCAAAACTCGTAGCACTATAATATAAATAGTTTCGAGTTTTTTGTGTTCAACCCTCTAACGTTTCAAGAACAAATATTTACTGAAGATGAAATACTGTTGGGCCGACTTAGTTTGTTGACACGCTTTTTGGTACACGCTTCATGTAATTCATTCAAGGTTGCTATTTCCTCCGGCTATACTTCTAAAGAGCTCATTTTTGAGAACTTCATAGTGAACGATTTGGCTGGGAGGGCGGTCGACGGATACATTTGTTCCGGAAAAAAGAATCGTTTTTCTCAGATTCTTGGCATGGTAAATCAGTTCATGAACTAAACAATCATCGCACGAGGGTCTCCCCAAATCAAGTCTTCTCAATGTTACAGGTTCGATATAGTTGAAATTTCAATTTGTCTGATAGTAGAGGTAGAGAGTTAGAGAATAGATAAAACTATATTTCTGTCTTGCTCTGGATGCTCAGATGATGAGCGGTTTGTCGGCTAGTGTGTATTTCAATTCCGCAACCTCTTAAGTTCAGTGTATTGCCTATACCTGAACAGTTTGGACAAGTCCATGAGAAACATCTCCAATTTCTCAGCTCTAATTTTGGAAAAAGATAAATACACGCATTAGTGGAAGAGCACCTTGGTGCATATGGTGCAACTGATTTATGTTCTTGAATAGATTTTTTGCGACAAGAACAGTTCGTACAAAATGATATTTTGACCTCCAAGAAACTAAGGTGAACTTAGCAATCCTGCTCGAAGCACAACAATTTTTTTATGAACTACTCGGGTTAGATAATTGGTTTGTGAAATTTTCAGCACACAAGAAAGGAAAGATACACTCCTTACCATAATATCGTAGGTGAATTCGGAAATAATTGGTTTTTATGTTATTCAGATTTAACACCCCATGAAATTTTCAGCTTTGCCACTTTTATCCACTTGTAAACTCAGTTATACTGAGAAGTGAACGTAAAATGTATGTAGTTGGTCATCAAGTTCACCCTCGTTACTTCCACATGAATATGAGTGAGATTTTCAGTCTGAATGAGAAATATTCTATTCCTCATTTTCAAGTGCATTTATGAGTATAACAGCACTCTTTAGTAATTGAAAACATCGTTATTCGCCTTCGGGCATTGTTATTTCATTATTTGCCTATCTAATTAGTCTACAAAGCTAAATAAAGAATAACGAGGAGGAAATAATTATGGAATTTCTTGTCATTCATGAAAGTTAGAACGTGAGAATCTACAAAATAAATTAACATTGGGATGACACTGAAGACATTTTCCCACAACGCATCCCAATTGCTTATATAATTAGAAGTAATCATGAACAGAAAAATAATTGTTTGAGAGAGTAGTGATAACGAGAAACTCATAACTGTTTGATATCTGGGTTTTTGGTAGATCATAAAATTGTGGCTCATATTTTTCTGTCACGAATAACTCTACATACTATACTCGTACATGTTGATCCAAATTAAGTGCGCATCATCGATAAATTTGTTGTTAATGCAGATACTAAATTGTTTGAATTGGTAAACTAATAATATTTTTTGTAACGAAAATAACATTGACTTACTAAAGCATCCTTGAATTTTTTTTATTGATATCTTCTTGTGTAGAGTTAGAGTCATGAATCAAAACAATGTGAATATAATAAAATACATGAAATTTATATTTGCACTGAATACTTAGATGAATCAACTGTTAGACAAGCATTGGGTCTTTTTGGTTGTCAATGTCAAATATCAAGATAGCTCTGATAGCTGTGAATGTTTGATATTTTTGCTTATGTTGTTAATTGTCAATGTTTTTTTGGTGTTAATATGCTGGGAGTTTATCTCGTAAGCAGAAAGTGTTTTTGAGGGCAATGTACTCTGAACGCATTCTATAGAATCAAAATTTTCCGAAAATTTTGAAGGAATGAGAGTGTTTATGCCAGAAATGAGTGAAAAAAAATTCGCATTTAGTGCCGTTCTAGGCTGCTTTTAAAACGCTCTTATTAGCGTCACTTGTATGCTTGTTCATTTGTAACTGACTCTTTGGACTCGATTTTGGCTAACTTTAAATTAATAGATTAATTTGAAACTTGGTGACAATAAAATAATTTCATGAGTTTATTTCATTACCCTGATCAGGGTGACCGGGATTGAATAATTTCCCCACACAGTCTCTGTGTAAGAGCAAGTTAGACACAGCCACACTGACTGCGCATGCATATATATATTTTACATTAAAACAAATGGTCTTGAAATAGCAAGTCAAACTAAAGAGTGGAAAATAAATAATAAAATAAATAAAATATGAACTTATGATGTACTGTTTGGAACCATTGGTGTAGTAATGAATATTACTTTAGTTTTTTCCCAACACCAAATCGTTATTTGGTGTTGGGAAAAATTGAACGATATGGCGTGAGTTGAACCGCATTGAAATTAATGAAGTCTTATTTACATGACAAGACCCAAAAAGTAGTGATTCAAAAAACTGTAAGCCAGTCAGCAACCATTGAACAGGGTGTTCCACAAGGCTCAAGGCTGTTTCTGATATATGCGAATGACTTGTTGCAGTTCATGAATAGTCTCACTGAAATACATGTGGTTGCTTATGCAGACGATACCAACTTCCTCATCAAGGAGAGCAATGCAATAGCACTTGCAGAGAAAACAGAGAATGTCTATGAGTAGGTAGTAACATGGGCAAAAAAATCAACTATCAATGAACATCACGAAAACATCATTAATGAAATTCTCGCTTAATTCTGCTCATGACAATTTTAGCATTTATGAGAACGAGGAGTTGTATTTCACTAGTTCGGACTTCCATTGTCTATTATATAAAATGATTTGAAATCCCTGAAACAAGTAAAAAAGAATAATTAAAAAAGAATAGTTGAAAATAACAATTATATTAAGCAACAATAAACCTGAAATGAAATGATAGTAAAATAACCTACAAGTAAAAATATAATAATTTTTTCATTTCAGGTTTATTGTTGCTTAATATAATTGTTATTTTCAACTATTCTTTTTTAATTATTCTTTTTTACTTGTTTCAGGGATTTCAAATCATTTTTATATAATAGACAATGGAAGTCCGAACTAGTGAAATTCATCACGAAACATTGTCAATCACCTTCAAACAAACGAGGAGTTGTATGTTGAATCTGGCTCAACATTAAAGATGCTTGGCCTTACACTTGACTACAAGCTCACCTGGATCCCTGACAGTGAAACTCTTTGCGACAAACTCCGCTGAAATTGCTATGCGCTAAGATTTATGTCAAACCATTGCAGTAAACCAAGTTTTGTTGAATCTGTACTATGAATCAAATACACTGTCATATATGTTATGGAATACTGAACTGAGGCACTGAATCGTCTGCAGTGAGGGTATTTACATTACAGAAATATGCCATCGGAACTATTGCTCGTATAGGATGGAGGCAATCGTGTAGAAACATTTTCAAAGAACTCAAAATACTCACTGTTGCGGGTATTTATATTTATGAATCAGGCATATACATTTACAAGAATGGTCATAATTTTATATCTGATCAGCATAAATACCTGACCCGCTCTAAAAACTTATTAAAACCCCATATGTACCGAACCACCATATACCAAAAAAAGCCACCTTTTTCTTGGACCAAAATTTTACAATAAGCTTGATGATTCGGTAAAGAATGCGCCAAATGTCAAAATTTTCAAATCAAGACTGAAAGCTGCTCTCATAGAAAAAAAAATGATACACCCTTGAAGAATTTTAGGTTATAGGTGTTTTTTTTTCTCTTCTTTAACGTTCTTGTCACTATTCGACATTACCATTATTTCTAACTTTTAAATTATAACCATGACCCTCAATTTTACTGTTGTAGTATTTCGCTTCTTTTATGTGTCTACATATATTTTTCATCTTTTTATCTCAATTCTTTTAAAATATTTAGATGAATACTTGTGTGTGAATATATGTATATGAAAAGCATAGAATCTTTTGACGTTTTCCTTGTTATTGTATTGATAGAATTATCCACTGTTATGTGCTTTTTAACAAGCGAAATAAATGAATTATTATTATTATCAAAGCCTTCTGAAAATTTCGGTCGTAGCGTATGAAGGAGGGCCCCACACTTGATCGGTATCTGAATTGCTGGAGGCCGTGTTAAAATCATTCCGGTTGCGCTGTCGAAATTCATTTAGAACGGCAATTCACTCCGGAAGACAATTACAAAAAGGGATATTATTGAAATGAGTCCCATTTTCTGATAGAATTGACCAAAAGGACAGTTGATTAACGGAATTTTCTATTTTATCTCCAAACCCGGAACCTAAGTCTTATGAAACAAAAAAGACAAGTTTTTCATTATTGTTCCAAACTATTTTGAAATGGAAAAAATTAACAATGTTTTTCTCACATATTTCGCGTAGAAAACACCGGTTTCCTACAAGTAATTGTTCAACTATTTTGCACTGCGAGCCCTTCGAGTTTTTCTTACATAAAGATATATTATTTTATGTCATTGATAATATGTTGATGAAGAAGCCAAGTCCCAAAAATTTTTGTATGATTTTGAAAATAATACATACATAATACTACCTCGGCCTTTCATATACTATTTATCAATTAAACCTATTACTCAAAGTTTCTTTTTTCAGCTACTCTCCTTGGATATGACTGTTTAGTACCGGAACAATGCTCTCTGAAGGTGGCCAATAGTAGCTGTTTGGATGGTGCATGTCGTTGTATTGATGGTTTCCTGCAGTTCCGGAAGCATACTTGTCTTGGACGTGAGTGATTTTTTAAATTCATCAAATGAACGTTAGTGTTAGAAACGTAATGAATCCTAATATAACACAGAAAGAGCTTGTAAGTAATCCTGAATGATTGCTTTATAATCATATGAATATTTTATACAGTGTTTTTCAATTAGAACGGGTCACCCTGAATACGTCATGTATTTAATATTAAATTTCACAGGAAGGATTTGAAGCTTTATATCTTCTAATAATCATCTGCGAGCGCTTTCGACAGCTGGTCGTACTGTCATCTTCTAGGCACTCCTCAAACTGAACTTGTCATCCTGTCGTCTGCCTCTTTATACGGTCAGAATGTCTCATCTCACGTATTTCAGGTACTTTAGGTGAATTTGCCTGTATTTTTACTGCATCAGGTACTATTCTTTGTGTTAGATCTTCTCTAGGAATATGTATGGTTTTGTTCAATATATTGAATGTGTTTTGATTTGTACTTGTTCCTCGATAAGTGATTTATGTTGTTAAATTTATGGATGTTCAAGTTTTCCCAAATGTCCATGCGGTTTCCCTTGTTGACTTGTTTTATGAGTTTTATGTTCTCTGGTGGGGGGGGAGGGGATTATGTTTGTTTTGTATGGCGTGTGTTTCGATGTTTGATTTATATACTATTGGATTTATGTATGCCTTTTTGTGTTTATTGTACCTTTGGATCAGTTTTTTCTTGATTTGGTCGATATAGAATTTGTTGCAGTCCGAGCATTCTATACTGTTTATCCCGTTTTGGTCTTTGTCTTCTTCTTTTCCATAGTTGTTTATTTTTTGTGTGTGTAAAACGAATCTTGCTTCTTCAATTGATTTAATTTTTTCAAACCATATAAATGGCAAACAAATTCTTGAACCCCATTAAACATATTATTTTGGTTGCTTTAATCTGTAAGGCCAAGGTTAGCGAATGTTTTTTAAAAATCTTCGCTTTGCATCATTAACTGCAGATTTTTTCAGTACCTTTCTTGTGAAAAGCCGGGTTAAAATCGCACCCAATCAATGCGTGCAGTCCTAGAAGAGCATTACAAACAGAATTTCCCAATATTGCTATCCAAATTGTCGTCGAACTTGACAAATTTTCCATGTTTCCTAGCATAATAACGATTAAAATGTTTAAATCTTCTACGATTTTACAAACATGGAAAATAATTGTAAATTATGACTATAGTCAGCTGAGAAAAAAAAAGCTTAATAAATTCAGAGACCTTTTTAGCTCTACCTCTCCGTCTATATGTGCGCACACCATGGTCGTATAGCTTACTGAGAAGTAAATCATGATCAACCGTGCCGAAGGCCCTAGTAAGCATATGTTCAAGGTTTTATTACCAATGTCAATAATATAATTATATGTCTGTGCATTTTTTTATTTTCATTTCGCTTCCTGTTTCGTTTTAGAGAAAAAGCAATATTTAACTGTTCCAAAAAAATATAGAAAATGTCTCATCGCAGTTTAGATCAGCTCTCATAAGATAAAAGATTAGGTACTTCAACCTAATCTTCATTGCTGGGACTGAAAACCCTGTGATAAGAGTATTCAGTATCTTGTCTATCAGAAGTTTGTATTTGTGTAGAAACACTTTGAAAAAAGTGATCTGAAAAATAAACATGAATTACCTCACTACTGATGGCTGTATGGATATTCGTGAAGATATTATCAATAACAGTATTGCTATTTTTACTAATTCTAGTGAATTCGATTTTGCTCTTGTATAGCCCGTAACATTAAAAAAGGTTACAAAGAGTTTTGACATTGTTGTCATTCATATTGTCATCGAAATTGAAGTTGAAATCGCCACACATAAATGCAATCACATGCTTCAATGATGAGTCAAAAAAGTGTTCCATGTTTTCGAAAAATACCTTTGGATCACTGAATGGAGCTCTATAAAAGCAACCCAAATCAAATTTTATATTGTGGGCACTTATTTCAATGAGAGAGAACTCGAATATTTCCTATTTTTTTACTGAAAAATCATAAGTGTCCTTCACGAATATAGCTACTCCAACCCCCATAATGCTCTCTCTACAGAAATAGTCAGCAAGCGTATAAGAATCAAAATAAACTTGCAAAATTTCAAATGTTTCACACCACGTTTCAGTTAGGCAAATTAAATCAGAAAAATTAAGAAAGAGAAATTAAAGTTTTTTCTGTTTGTTTCAAAGACTGCTTATGTTTGAGTGGACAATTTTTAGGGTAGTTGTCTTACGTTGAGGGATCTCATGGATATAATCTTCACAAAAGTTATTGACATTAGTTATGAGAAAATCCAAATTCTTCAATAAGTAAGTACATTGTTCGGTCAAAGATCATTCTTGAGCATGAGCTCTTGGCACTCCTTTAATACTTTTTATAATGTTGAACTGCAACTCGTGTTTATCAGGATCTGAAGCATCAATTGAAGTAAGATTTTTACATCTTACGCATTCCACATTGTTTTTCACGAGCTGTTGTAATAATGGATTTACAGAAGCACTCTCGGAAAGAGCTTTTAAGACTAATAGACCTAATAAGTCACTTTTTTGAGCTTATTGAGTTTCACAACAAGAGCGACATGTTAATTTGACAACATGTTCGACTGTACATATACAGGGTGTTTATTGAACATGCTGTAAAAATTAAAGGGACTATTTCTTGGACTATTCTAAGAATATTTGTTCCTCTGATGATTTTTGATGAGTCGCTTTGTTTCGAAGATACGGGTGAAAAAGAATTTCGACAAAAACAATTTTACCAATTTTAGAATTATTACCGTGAGTAATAAAAAATCTAACAATTCCGTTGATACCTATCAACAACAATCCGATTACTGCAAACGGCTACTGACATTAAATTTGCTGGGTGTAACGCAATTGAAAACGTTCCTGGTGTTTTTGAAAGAGTTCGGGAGTCAATGAGGAGAATATTGGATCCTTGCATCCGAGCTGGGGTAGTCATTTTCAATGATTCCATTCATTACATTTATGTAGAATTTTGAGGTTATCTTCATTTATCTTGTGGTTTGATTCTTGAAGATGTTCGTACATTGCAGATTTTTTGTCCAAACAGACGTGTTCACGCAGTCTTATTTCTAAATTTCTACCGGTTTGGCCTGTATATGCTGCAGATCATTCGCCACACTCTATTCTATACATATATACCTGATGTTTTCATTCTATCCTGTTTGGGTTTTGCATTGAACAGGGTTCTACCTAAATTATTATTACTTNNACTTGATAGTGAGGTCAACAGTTAGTTCCCAAAATTGTCGCTAGTGGTCCAACAATAATTCATATTTAGTAATAGAATGGCATGACCGTTATTACATAACCAAATACTGGGACCATATTTTTTTAGAGGGAATTTGAATGCAGACATGTACAGAAATTCAATTATGAATCAGTTGTCTGAAGTTTTGGATAAGCGTTAGATAAAATTTGTGGTATCAGCTTGATGGGGCACCGATCTACCGAAGTGTAGAAGTGTAACACTGTCTCAGTCATATCATTAGAGGCAAAGTGACAGGACGAGATTGGGAAGATTGTTGGCCACCAAGATCTCTGGACTTATCTCCGATGGAATTTTTTCTATGGGGTTATCTGAAAAAGTGCACAGACCATTTGCAGACAAAGAACATTCAGAGAATACGATTCCGGAGTGTTGTGCTAACATTGATTCCCTATTTGACAAAAATACCACAAAGTCTGTGAATGAAAGGAGTATAATTTGTATAGAACGAAAAGGACAACATACTGAATGATGAATTCGGGTTCTTTATAAGATCATTGATTTATATCAATGAATATTATGATGTTTTATTGTGAATTTGGTTACAGTTATTTCGGTTGGATGTTATTTACTCACGTAATGGTGTAAGCAATATAAAAATATTTCGAACTCATATTCAGCTAATGGGATACAAATCTGCTGAAAAAAGGATTACGAGTGTAATAAGAATGAAAAGAAATACGTCCATTCGATTACTGGCAGTTGAAGTGCCAAATTCCGGGCAAGCATATAAAATTGAAATATTAAAATCATAGGCGCACTGCATCCGAATCATTTACTCTGAACGAATTGACTAAATGAATTGAAAAATCACATTCATAACAAGCAAAATAACAAATCAATACGATAAATGTAAAAATATGCCCAGTAGTAACCAATACATTCTGCAACAAATAAGTATTTAGTTGAAAGGGATTGAAAAAACATTGTTTTTTAAAGGCGGTATAAATATATATTCCTTTCAATTATACCGTCAACAGACACACTGCACCCATCAATAGGACCG